TTAGGAAAAGTCAACCAAACTTTGACCAAGCATAACATCCTCATACTTTATCATAAATTTTCCATCCAAAGCTCATTTTGAAGAGGATGTAATTCCCTACAACACATATTCAGCCCTCAAGTTCAAAATATGCACTCATCAAAAGATATGAATTTCTACATTATAGGTCTTTTTGAAAAGTCAACAAAAACACCTTTTAGGGTCAAAGCTTCTTACATAAACATGGAAGACCCAATTGATATGAGACTAAAAGGGTTGTTTAGGGGAAATCCTAAGATTTCTAAAAAGTCCAAGAACACCTCTCTAGGGTTAAAATTGGAGGAGATATGCCTTGGCAAAGTTGGGCATTTTTTGCAAAATTGCCAAAAGTCAAATATGCTCAAAAACACATTTCTTGTCAAGTGGGCTTAGTCTTTCATGGTTGAATCTTTCTTGTGACATGGTCCACAACCCAAATCAGAACCCACACATTATTTGATTCATTTATTTATTTTATTTTGATATTTATCATTTAAAAGTCAAATTAAATCAAATAAATAGCAAAAAAATATCAAAGATTTGTTTTGTGATCAGATTTTTGGTGGAATCAAATCCAATCAAGCTAGAATATCATATCCAAGTCGTGCAAGGGTTGATTGAATAAAAAATAACATGATTTTGGTTGTTTTGGAAAGATATCATACAAAAACAAAATCAAATCAAATCTCTTTAATTCACCAAGATACCATACAGTTTTGTTGATCTAATCAATTCCAATATCTATATAGGATACAACCAAGCCAGAAAAACGGGGTTAGTGGTCGTAAAAGCTGCAAACAAAAACTGATAAAATTGTCAAAAAGTGGTAGATCGATTTTCAGTTTAGAGGCCGATTCAAAGACTTTCAAAGCTACCAATTATTTCCTGGACCTTCCCAGAAGCTAACACGATTGTTTGCACGCCTCAAAGCTCCAGGAATCATCACATAATCCACACGGTTTGCACCCTCTGAACTCAAATTCGTTTTCAGGGTTCTACGTACTTTTAATCCAATTTGCTTGCATAAATGTATTCATAATCATGTTTGTGATCTTTTGGATATCCTGAATTTGATTTCTAGTGCAGGGACAAGCTTACGCTATTATTAGGGTTTGGAAGCTTCAAATTACGGTTTCTCTGTAGAGGCAAAATTAGGGTTGGTTAATGATACCAATGGACTCAGGGCAAGATTCTTAGTGGGTCTATGTCGTTAGTTCTAATTAATATTGCTTGTGTGCATTTTGAGATATTACAGGTTTGTAGCTACAGATCAATATTGTCGCTATAGCATACAACGACGCATTTGACCGTAGGTAAAAGGTTGTTATCAAAAACAAAAGTCCAGGGGAAAGAGATAACAACGTGGCTGACCACCATTGGGCAATTTAAATATTCACGCGTTTTCTGAAGCTTCTGACTAATTTGCCTTATATTGTTTACGTTTTAATATTATAACAAACAAGAACAGGTGGCCCGATGGTGAAGCATGTGTTTGGAAAGGTAGAGGACCTGGGTTCGATCCCAGGTCCCAACAATTTTATTTTCTAACTTTGTTTCAGTTGATCATGTGCATCATGCCTCCAAACGTCCATTATGCAACCCAGGATCTCAACCACTGGATTCATCATCAATCCAGAACCAACGCCTGTCAATGAAAGACCATGGTATACCTTCCAAACTTGGCCAACACAGAATCAGGCGCGCTGGCTGGGCTCAGCTCTTTGGGCCTAAAGACAAATTCCTCATGGCACCCCCCCCCCCCCCAATTTCTTAAATAGGCCCAGTTTTTATCTTTTCTATTTTAATTTCTTTTAATTATTTTCTAATCATTTTCTTTTTAAAATAACACCAAAAATTATTTTTATTATCATTTAATCAGAAGTCACAAACACATAAAAAAATTTTTTTTTAAATAAATATTTCATTAATTAATTAGTTTAATTAAAATTAGGGGAAATTTAATTCCTTTTTCTATAATTTAAATTAATTAGAAATTAGGGTTTTAATTCAATCTTTCCTCAAAATAACTTAAATATTTTTGTCAATCGGATTTTAGGATTTCTTAATTAATTCTCGCATTTAAATTTGCCACGCGCATTTCTTTAATTTCCTTTTATTATTATTCTAACTATTTCGAGGTTGTAATAGTTAATTAGGGTTTTAAACTTCCGCATTTTTATTTTACAGTCAAAAATAATTTTGTACCTGCGAAAGCCATGTAATAGCTAGAACTTTAAACTTTCCGCACTTTTAATTCCCGCAAATTATAAACTGTTAGATGTATGCTAATAGGATTGTATGGAAAGAATACTTGAAAATTAAAACGGTAGAAAACCCTAAATATGCAAATACAAATTAACTGAAAAAATTCACTCACACATGCTCACTCCTAGGGTTTACTCCACTCCGGTTTCCTTCGGTTAAACGGTCATAAAGTATAGGGTTTGTTAGTGGTCGTCCTCTAGCCCCGAAAGCTCTCAAATGACCCATTCGAATGTTGCCTCGGAAAAAGATATTTAAGGCTTTAGGATGATTACTAACACCTCCTAACATTGCTTTTGCGATCGTACTTGTCCCTTCAAATGTTCCTTAAAACTCCAACGACGGTGCTACTTATTCCTTAATAATAGGATAGCATTGTCTAAAGGAAAACAAATAGACTTTTTTCGAGTAGGTAAATAATTGTTAGGTACTTGCTCAAACAAACAAAAACTTTTTCACACCAACACTTTCCCAAACAAAGTTTTCAAAAACAACTTCGTAACACTCTTGAGGACAGAAACAAGGGTTAAAACGAAGTAAAACAAAACTTTTCAAAGAAAGCACACACAAGCAATTTCAAAATGAGAAAGTACCTAAGGGCCCGTGGAAAACCACGTATAGAAAGGGTGCTAACACCTTCCCTTTCTATAATCTACCCCCCGTACTCAGAAACATCTCGAAAAAGGTTTTTTCTGTTCTTTTTCCTTTTCATGATTGGATAAAATAAAAGCCGGTGGCGACTCTTTCTTACCACGACATTTGCGAACAAAAAACGCAAACCAGTATTAACAGTTGGTTCTGCCACTGTATCACACTATGTACATGAGGGTAACATATAAGGTAAAGAAGATTCGACCGAATAAGAAACCAGTACTTGACATGATGAAGTAAATATTGTGTTCCCATCTCTTTGGGGTTTAAAGCCACTGACAGAAAAAATAAGTTAAGAGTATACCAAACCTCAGGTGAAAATAAATCACAAGCTGACAACATCAAAAAACCAGATGTAAGATAATAATCTAAGCAATGAATAAAGTGTAATGAATCGCAACACGTGAAAATAAATCACGGATGAAGAAAGCATGGATAAAGCTCATGGTACCGGATAAGGCTCAAAATATTGAAGAAAGCTCACGGTATAAGATTCCATGCATCACATGAAATGTACAGACAAAACTAACAGCACGGGAAAAATTATATGCATCCGTACGATTTTCAGAAGTTAATTTGAATTAAAAATTAAAATTGCAACGCGATGAAAATAATATTTACATAACCTGAATTTATTTACAAGTGAAGAGAATAGAATATACAGTTAAAATATTATGTAAAAGTATACATTTGCAGTACCAAATATTAAATCAAAATAGTGAAATAAAGAATACAATAAAAAAGGAATACAGAAAAGGTATTGTGAATGCACTATGCGAGAATGAATTGCTTGAAAAAATTATCAGAAACCTTCACAATAACAAACGCATTAGTAGCATAAGCAGTATAAAAATAAAATGAAGGAAATTGCAACAATGAGAATCAATGTTAGAAATCACAAAATAAAGAATTGAAATGAAATTTTATGAATGCGCATGAACAAATGAATATTTACACAAAAAATCAGCATGGCATACATTATTTCAAGTGTATCAAAAGCAACCGCTATTTCAACCACAACGGAAAACAAAAATCAAAAGTTCATATTGCAACATGAGAAATTGAATTGAAAATGGACCAAGATGGAATTAAGTCATAATCAATCAAATTGAAAAAATGGGCAGCAACCGTGCATTATTATTATGTCCCAAAATTCCAATTCAAACATGATTTGTAACAAAAGGAAATTGCATGTTGTCTTCAATAGTTTCTCGGTCAGATTTACACGCAAATAAAATGCGGCATTATTGTCACATTCATCGAAACTAAACCAAGAAGAAAATTCAATCAAGCAAAGAGATGCCATCACTCAATTTTCAGGCATAAAAACACGGTATTACAAGCGGAATGGGCTTTGAGGCCAGTTCAAATTATGAAGGAATGAAGCTGTTTGAAATTGAAAGAGGTAAACATAGGAAATTGGCAAAAACATTGCTACTGTTATTTGCATTGACCAAGCCTTTTTACTACCATAATAACATGTTTTTTCATCCAATTTTAAAATAAATCAACAAAGTTTCGATTTCACAATCAAAGTTCCAATTACAATCAATAATTATCATCATGTTATCATTCAAATTAGCAACCTAAAACTAACATTACAAATTCAATAATAATAAACAAAACTAATTTAATCAAAAACAAAACAAACATATCATCGAAAATTGAATTAACAGCACAACATCATTCCTCTCACTATTCAATCCAAACAAGTCTTTAACCATTTCAAACTGCAGAAAAAAAACTAGAGAAGAAAGTACTGAACCATTTGTGGAATATCGAAGTTTGGACGAGAAAAGGTGTTGCAGGAACAGAACTAAGTTGGAAATATGTTGTGGCAATCGTAAGCACTAAGAGAAGTGTGGATGAAGGAAGTGATATTACGGCTTCAGACGGAGGGAGATGTTCTCTATTGAGAAGCGATTCCAACGCAAGAATGAGAGATGGAGCGGCAGGTTGTGGAATAGGTAAATGGTATGTTGTGCGCGTAAGGGGGTGGATTGGAGAAGTTGTGAAGGAACTATGGTGATGAATTGAAGGTGTTGATTCGGAATGTACTGATAGATGGATTAATGATGAGGTTTGTTGGAAAATTGAAGGTGATGAATTGAATGTTGGTGGAAGATTGAAGATGAAGCGGATTGTTGGATGGAGGTTGGGTTCGTGCGCTGATGGAGAAGAAACAGAGGCAGAAATTGAAGGGATGAATTCGGTGGAATCGGTGACGGAGAACAAGAAATTTTGTGGAGGTTGGGCGAAGGTTGGGGATGATGGATGAAGGAGAACGATGGTGATGTGGTGGATCGGTGGTGGTGAATTGGTAATTGCTTGGCGAGAGAGAGGGAGTTTGATGACGGATTAGAGATGAGGTTGATGAGGATGGTGATAAACGGAAAGCGGACGTTGGGCGAAGGAGGGTTACTGTTGGTGATGTTTGTTAACAGTGGAAGGGAGGGGTTACGGTAATTGAAGGAAATGGATGGGGTTTGTTGTGATGTGAGGAAGTACCAGAGAAATAGAAAGGTTAGATGGATGGTTTCTTCTATTGCTTTTGTTGTGTTGTATTTTAGAAAGAAAATAAAGAGGCTTAATATAGAAATATCAAAGAGAAAAAATGATTTCAGATTGCAATCAGATCCGTTGATTAATTTCTTCAATTTTATCAATCCACAAATTCTTTCAACAACCAATTGGAGCATAATACAGTATAATAAATATTTTTTTGTGACTAAAAAGTCATTAAATGATAAAAATAACCAAAAAAACCGAAATTATAAAAAATAACTCAATTAAAAATAATTTTTTTGAATTTTTTTCTGAATAAAGAATAAAGACTTAAAATGACTGAAAATGGTAAAAACGGACGAAAATTTATCCGAAAAAATAAAATGAACACATTAAAATAAACTACATGTCACAAAGATTAAAGAAAAAATATTCAAAAAGTCAAAATCAAAATAAAATGAGAATAAAAATATCAGGCTAAATAGATGTTTACAGTTAAAAACGAGACTTCAAATTGTACCGAAAAATAAAGCGAGCATACCGTCATAATCTACGCAAAGCGCAGATTCATAAAATGATCGGTAAAAGGTGGAAACTTGAAATATTTTTCTCGCTAATTTTCCGCACATTACCAAATCGCTTTTAACAGTATGTCTGTAAAACCGAATTATTAATATTATCGACACATAAACAACTTGGAGCAATGCAAGAAAATAGTAAAGAGATAAAAATGCATGAAGTGAAATGTCAGGTATCTTTCAACTACAGAATGACGCAAATGTCGATTTAAATTAACTTTTGGTCAACTTAAACACGATTAGATGATGCAAATGTGATGAATGAAGCTATTTATTAATGATTGTGACCAAATGACAAAATATGATATGAAAGTGAGACTAAAAAATATTAGGGGCAAAATTTAGGGTGCAACAGCTGCCCCTATTTAATTATCTTTTAGCCAGACAGGCAGAAAGTAATTAAATACAATCATACTCGAATTTCGTCCCTGATGTGATGAGATGATATCATATATTATGAATGAATGCATGGACTCTTTTTGATATTTTTTTTTAATGATGTTTGAGATGAGACAGACTCTTCGGTAATATGGAAAGACTCGAAACTGGAAACTTATGGTAGCTCAAATGAAATGACGTGAAAAGACACACTAGGGAAACAACAAGATATTTCTGGATATCTGTCAGGGTGAAAAAGAGTAACCATCAATACTTGGAAAAAAGAGATAAAACCTGAAAAGGAAAGTAGTGACATCCAAGAATGGCATTAAATGAGGTGAGCAACTCTCTGGAAAATACAGTCAGAAACATCTAGAAGAACATTAGATGTGGGATGAGACCAAATCTGAAGTTACATCAGAATCGTCCAGGAAAGACGCTGTACGGAAAAAGAAACATGACATCCAATATTGGCTTTGAATGAAGGTAAAACTCAATGTCTAATAATGGCTTTAGACGAGAGAAAATATCACAACATCTAATATTGACTTTGAATGAGTGGAAAACTCAATGTCTAATAATGGCTTTAGACGAGAGAAAAGATCACAACATCCAATATTGGCTTTGGATGAATGGAAAACTCAACGTCTAATAATGGCTTTAGACGAGAGAAAAGATTACAACATCCAATATTGGCTTTGGATGAATAGAAAGATCACGACATCCAATATTGGCTTTGAATGAGGTGAGACAAATTATGGCTTCCAATAATGGCTTTGGACAACAACAAAGATAACAACATCTAATATTAGCTTTGAATGAAGGGAAAGATAAACATCTAATAATGGCTTTAGACGAGAGAAAAGATGACACCGTCCAATATTGGCTTTGGATGAATGGAAAAATCAACGTCTAATAATGGCTTTAAACGAGAGAAAAGATCACAACATCCAATATTGGCTTTGAATGAGTGGAAAACTCAACGTCTAATAATGGCTTTAGACGAGAGAAAAGAACACAACATCCATTATTAGCTTTGGATGGCAGCAAAAGATCATGGAATCCAATATTGACTTTGGATAGCAGAAAAGGTAACAACATCCAATATTGGCTTTGGACGGAAACAAAAGATAGCAACATCCAACATTGGCTTTGGATGGAAGAAAAGGAAACAACATCCAATATTGGCTTAGGACTGCAACAAAAGATAGAAACATCCAATATTGGCTTTGGATGGAAGAAAAGGTAACAACATCCAATATTGGATTTGAACGACAATAAAGATCACGACATCCAATATTGACTTTGAATGAAGGGAAAGCTCAACGTCTAATAATGGATTTAGACGAGAGAAAAGATCACAACATCCAATATTGGCTTTAGATGAATGAAAAACTCAATGTCTAATAATGTCTTTAGACGAGAGAAAATATTACAACATCCAATATTGGCTTTGGATGAATAGAAAGATCACGACATCCAATATTGGCTTTGAATGAGGTGAGACAAATCATGGCATCCAATAATGGATTTGGACAACAACAAAGATAACAACATCCAATATTGGCTTAGGACAGAAACAAAAGATAGCAACATCCAATATTGGCTTTGGACAACAGAAAAGGTAACAACATCCAATATTGGCTTTGGACGGCAAAAGATCAAGACATCCAATATTGGATTTGGACATCAAAAGATTATGACATCCAATATTGGCTTTGGATAGCAAAAAGAGGTAGCAACATCCAATATTCGCTTTGGATGGAAGCAAAAGATCATGGCATCCAATATTGGCTTTGGACGGCAAAAAAAGATAACAACATCCAATATTGGCTTTGGACGACAACAAAAGATAGCAACATCCAATATTGGCTTTGGATGGAAACAAAAGATAGTAACATCCAATATTGGCTTTGGACAGAAACAAAAGATCATGGTATCCAATATTGGCTTTGGACAACATGGGGAAACATGATACCCAAGATTAGCATTGGTTGAAAGTGAGAAGTAACACACCCAATATTAGTATTGGACGGAAAAGGAAACCAACAATGAACCCAATATTAGCTTTGGAATTGAAACAACACACCCAATATTAGCTTTGGACGAAAAAGAGAGACAACACATCCAAGATTAGCATTAGATGGAAAGAAAGACAGCTCATCCAAGATTAGCATTGGAAGAAAGAAAGAAACAACTCATCCAAGATTAGCATTGGGCAGAAGAGAGAAACAACTCATCCAAGATTAGCATTGGATAGAAGAGAGAAAACAACTCATCCAAGATTAACATTGGAAGAGAGAGAGAAGCAGCTGAACTGACATCTGCTTTGGTAGGTGCCAAGTAAGTTGGACTTTGATATCAAGGTGACATGTCGACTGTAACAAGACCTCGGGAAATGAAAATGAGGATGAAGCACTCTTGTTATGCATTATGTATGAATTTTATTATGCATGATATGTGAATGATTTATGCATGTAATGCAGATGTTTACGACAACAAAGTTTGACTCTTTTGTGGAGGTAAGATTGGAAGTTTGATTCCTCCACACGAAGAACTCTACCAAATTTGCTTGGGAAGAAAATGTCCTAAAACCATATTTGTCACACTTGTAAATTGTATTGAACTGGTGATCTTCTGAGGAAGGACATGGAGAGTTGCTTGGGAATTTGTCCCAGATTAGATGACTGTTGAGGATAAATTGATCATGGCTTGAGTCGAAAGTTGCTGCAAATAAACTGATCATGGCTTCAGATCTGAAATGACTGTTAAAGATGAACTAATCATGGCTTCAGCTCTGGAATAATTATTGGAAATAAACTGATCATGGCTTCAGTTCTTGAGATATTTGTTTGAATAAACTGATCATGGCTTCAGTTCTTGAAATGACTGCTGGAAAGGAATGCCCATGTATGAGTCTTGAAAATGATCTTTTGGCTAACCAATTCTGAGAAAACTTGCACTGAGCAACAAAACTTGAACTGGTTCGCAATTGGACCTAGAAGATACTTTCCCCTGATAGGGTCACTGACCAAGTTTCTCAACTGTTTGAAATTCTTTGACATGGAAAGCTTGTTTTCAAGCAAAATTGTTTATTCAAACATGGTAATTTTGATGCAGAAATTTCATGCAAAAGTTTTGAATTCAAATTCATTTTTGAAATGATATTATTGGTGTATGGAAAATTCATCACCGGTTAAAATTGTGGTTTATACTTTTAAAGAGAAAGCAAAGGTATGATACCAAAAAAAATGATTTGCAAAAGATTGTAGGAGTTAGTTTACGCAAACTTGCTATAGTATGCTTTCAAAAGAAACCTGGTGTCAATTAGGTCTTTTGAGAGTTGTAACGTGGTCTAGTTCACGGTTTAAGAAATAAAGGATAAAGGCTCAAAGTTTATTTTTACCCAACCCAATCTTCTTGATGTTCTTCAGTCCTACATTCAGTTAATTCAGAATATGCATTCAGGTTTCAAGAGATTTTGGAATTGCATTGAAGGTAGCAATGACGATGATTCAGAGGCTAAGGAATTTTTGAGACGGCAGTCACTTCTTCTTACATCATTCTGCTGTTTTGAGGACTTTTGTTAACTCTGGTGGAGAATTATGAGGATTTGAAGACCTCTTCTAATTGAATTTATTATTCCCAACTTTTGCCTTAACTATTTCATTTAGAATTATAGTCAGCGAGATGCCCCAGTTTTTTGCCTAAGTCTCCTTCATAGGTTTTGACTTAGCGGGATTTTTCTTTTGATTTTTCTTTTCATTTCATTTTTATTTTTGGAAAGATAATCACTTCCTTGCTCAATGATTACGGGGACCCATCTTTGTCATTTTTGGTTTGGGAGCATCTTTGACACTTCTTGCTGTGTGCAAAAGAAAGCTTGATCCCGACTTTTATTGAAAGGTGTCTTGCATGATTTCTCTTGTAATTGAATGCACAACCAAATTAACTGAGAACTACCCATCCCCAGGTTAAGATTGCAGGTTTTTTCATATAGAAAGAAAGTCCAACTTCTAGGCTCAAAGGGGTGAACAGGGGATTAACTTCCTTATTTCTCCGATGTTTGGAAGTTGAAACAATGC